AGAGAGAGAGAGAGAGAGAGAGAGAGAGAGAGAGAGAGAGAGAGAGAGAGAGACAGAGAGAGAGCTACTGTACAGTACTGCATTCCATCCCATCGCGTGCAATACGTGTGCGTTGCCCCGAAACACGAACAAACGTGGGTTGATGCATGCACGAGCCGACCCCGGTCACCCCGACGAACAGCTACAAAAGTTTTCTGTGGGAAGATTACCACGCTCACCGTTGACCGCTAAGTTGGCCAGAGCGGCGACGGCTTCCACAGCCACCCCCGGACTCTTTGAATCGGCGAGCTTCACCAACGGACTCACGCCTCCCGCCTTGCAGATCCGCTCCTTATTTTTAGTGTTGACGCCCAGGTTTGCCAGTGCTTTGGAGGCTTGCCGCTGCAGATGAGGGTGCGTGGATACTAGCATTTTCACCAATATATCGACTCCTCCCTCATCGGCCATGAGCTCCTGATTCGCCGCTTTACCAGAAACGAACAGTGCAGGCATGCGCGAGTAGAGAAGCGAATGTACAATCCCTCAGTCCGCATTCTACCACGTGCAGGTCTGAAGGCTGAGCAATCCGTTCTACTTGTAGAAGAGTGTAAGAAACTATTGTAGAGAGACAGTTCGAACACCAACATCACCCAAGAGACCACAGATAAAATGGTGCTCCCCGTTTCGCAGCTTGTTGGTCGTCCAATCCTGTGACGCTCACCGTCGACAGAGAGGTTGGCCAAGGCGTGGACGGCCAATCGTTGAACTTCCACATCCTTTGACTGGGTCAGGGGCAGGAGAAGCTTGAGGCCACCTAACTGAACGATCTGAGCTTGTCGGCTTGCTGCGGTACATACCGTGTTTAACAGGCCGCGACGAACCGTTTCGTGGTTGGCACGAGAAAACGTGTTCAGCGAAAAAGGCACGAAGTACCGAAGGTGATGTTAGTCCTCTCCTGTGTTCAACGCGTCCGAGCGTACATACCGTAGTTTGTCAAACAATAACGAATGAAGCAACTGATCTCGACAAAGGTCAAACAAGGACAATAATGCGTGAGCACGAAATAAAAGCAGAAAAAACGTAGAATCGACGCCAGTATAATGAAGCACTGCTGCCCAGAGTACCCAATCTGAACACACGCGCACGCACGTTTAACTGCTTCGTTGGCTAGTTTCTCCGCCACCTGTCGTTGGAGACCAGGATCCGCGCTCTTCGCGTAGGCGATCAATCTCGTCAGATTGGACCGAAGCGCGTCGGTCAGTGAATCATCTGCTCGTCCAAATCGAAAACAGTGCAGGTTGCGATGAACACGAGGTGTTGTACACGAACAGCGGGCGGGGCGGTGGGTGCAAGCAAGCTTATTCGGCCGTTCGAGTAGTCCAATCAGAGGCAGGCTCGATCCAGCAAGATATACATGAAGACTACTGTGCTCACTCTGCAGGTCGGTTCAGTCGTAGGGTATCGGAGAATGGACGCGGTACGTTGTGCGTGCACATGGACTTGTACGTTAATATGGAGATTGTATGTGGCCACGCACTGGCGCACTTGCATAGCTCAAAACCACACATACATGAGTACTACCGCAGTAGTAGCCTTCAAAAGGATGGCATGATCCACCTCACGAACATACATGGCCCACAAAAAGTACAGGTAGTCATTCAGCACTCGAAAACAAATAATCTGTATCTATGGAGACCCTTCGAAAGGGATGCAATCCTTCCCAAAGTACGTTCGAAAACTTTCACTACTGTACAAAGTATGTAGAGGCTTGCGCAGATCCCACCGCATCCAACAGCGGGCAGACAGGCACCCACCATCTTCTTCCTCCAGCACGAGATCGTCCTTCATTTTTGACTCGCCAGTTCCCATGGTAGCTATGGAACGACGTGGGGACAGCCAGCCGTCAGCAAATAGGGGCCTGTCGGGGGCGAAATTGTAATGCGTTCTGGGCGCATCGTATCCTAGCATCATGCGGAACATGCCCGAAGAAGGAGGTGACGTTACAGTTTATTGACAGTCTCGCGAGACATGCGCCACTATCAGACCGATACAACTCCCACTCGTTGGCTGCGAGTTCGTCACCGCGGACAGGGGGCGGGAGCCACGGCCGCTGGTATACTTTGACAAGACCGCGATGCTCATATGGAGACGTGACCGTCTGCTGATGGCGCTATCGACGCTAGGCTTTGTTCGCTGCTATCTCTCCCCCAGGCTGGGCGGGACGTACCCGTGCAGCAGCCGTTCTGTACAGCAGCGGCTTTATCGACGGTCGCGGTCTGCGGGCGACCGTAGCAGCAACGACGTCGTGGGCCCAAAGACTAGCGGCGGGGGTGCTGTTGAGCAGGACAGCCATGTAGACGAATGGGACACGTGGGAGTTTGGCACTTGGAAGGTGGGACGCGTCAGTCAAAATCGAGAGCGGTGGTCATTGTTGGCTCGTCCTTTTGATGTGGCACAGGCAGGGCCGCTTGCTGTTCAAGTAATTTCTTGTGCAACCCAACTGCCGGTGTGCTGCTGTACCTCTTTTACACGCGACCCATTGCAGCTGCACGTATGAAGTACGCGCACGAGTGTTGCAATCAACTGCAGCGCCACGCAGCTCTCAGTGGGACACGTTTCCCCAATGCTCACCTCCTGGCGGCAGAGGTCATGTCCCGCAGCCTCTCACTGTCGACATACAGCAGTAGTGGTAGAAAAGCAATGTCGTGAGATACAGTAGTACATGCCATAAGGGACATCGTCCATGTCATCACAAAGCAGGTACTGATCTCCTCGACCTGTTGCTTTCGAGATTGGCACCGCACCGAGCACGATCGCCGCGAGCCCAACAGCAACCCAGGCGTCTACATGTGTAGCGTGACGCCTTGCATGAGAAGGCACAAGGCAGGCAAAATACATTTTTTTTTTTTAATGTCTACGGACCTGTGTTGGGGGGAGCGTACGGGCGCGATTCTAGATGGCGGTGTACGGACAAGTCTTTGTCAGAGTTCGATGCCATTCGAGTCCAACGCATCACGCTGTCATCACGCGAAGATGCTTCGGTTGATCGCCATCAACATCAACTCAAATCAAAGCCAACCTGTTTTGCGTTGTGACGTTACATAACCTCGCCTCGGCACGCGCGCACAGACGCGAACACACAGCGAGAACGTGGCGGAGGCGGCTGCCCGGGCGGCCGGGCCCGCCAAGGTATCGACATTTATCGGCACGAGGGCCCTAGTCGACCAGACGGCCCCCGACCTGGAGAGGGCAGTGGACCTTCTGAAGGGCTATCTTTCGGAGGACAGGTTGTCTAGGATGGAAGACGTGCTCGATCAGCGCACAAGGAGTGCGACGCTTGTGTTCGAGAACCCTGCCAACCCAAACAACGTGAGCGAGGCAATAGGCATTGGATCATTTTGTTTGCTGTGCTCGTGTCCGCATGCGTGTCCGGCCTGTTGCGGGTTTGCTTGAGCCCTCATTTTGGTCAAGTGTGTGCAACAGATTGGTGTAACCACCGCGGGCAGGGGGCGACCTTATCCAACATTTGATCCAATATTTTTGATAACTCGCGGCAGTGAGTTGAGTTGCCTCGTGTGCGCTTCCCATGGCCGTCTTACGTCTACCACGGTGGTACACAGCGGTACATTGCCGCACACAGGTACCAATAATCATCGTAGCCGTTAGTTCTGAGCTTGAGATGTTTATGCAGAGATGCCCGTTGGAACCTTGAAGGGGTGCCAAGCGTCAAAACAACGTCTCGACAGCGCGAGCGCTCCTTGGATGGTTGCCGATGTACCCGCATGTCTATGCAGACGACGCCAACTATAGTGTCACCGCCCCGATGCATGACTGCTGTTGTACGTTGTCCATGCGTCTCACGTTCTTTGGTGTTATCCTCGTGCTGAAATCGCTTGTAATGGGGCGTCGTGCAGGTGTGGGCGTGCCTGAGGACTCTCGACTCGTTCGGAATCCAGCACGCACACATCGTGTCAGACCCCTCCACGTACTCCAAGCAGGCACGCCTGAAGACCATGTGCACGGCTATGGGCAGCCAGAAGTGGCTGACGCTCCATGGACACGACAGACCTGAAGATGCCGTAGCCAACCTCAAGGCAGATGGATACCAGGTGACCAACACGCACCAGCCGTCGTTACTTTTTTGGTTCCTCTTCACGAGCTTGCTCGAGCGCTGTTGTCGACCCACCCATCCCTAGCTTCGAGGGCATAGTCGTACCACCGTGAAAATTCGAATCATTGCACAACCCCTACGTTGATCGACTTGCATAGAGATATATGATGGTTCCACCACCAAGAGGTGTGCGAATGCCGAGAAGGGGCTTTCGGATGGGTCTCTTGTCAAGATCTTGCACGCGTTGGTCGGTCGTCGCACCCTCTTGGTTGTGGGGCAATCGAGCTTTGGAAGTCATCTAGCGGGCGTACGACGGCTCCCACTTTCAGGTCCACTATTGCGGTGCACCCCATGAAGTCACGGTGTTGTGTCGCCCGATTTCTGGAACTTGCCTTCCCTTGTGCGATGGCCTGTAGCTACTGCGGGCTTGCACGGCTGCCGTAGTATGGCAGCATGTGCTGCCTCACGAAATTTTGCTGACCCTGCTGCACGTGACCGCTGCGATTCGACATGGGCCATGTTTTGATGTGATGGCACATACTTGAAGACTGGTTTTCTTATTATGAGTCCCGCTTGCATTGGGTGAACTTTAAGGTGGTGGCGAGCGACCTCTCCCCATCAGCTGTACCCATCAGCGAGATCGACTGGTCCGTGCCCACCGCGGTAGTGCTGGGGAACGAGGAGCGAGGCATATCGGACTCCATGCGGGATATGGCGGACGCTACGTTCGTGATTCCGATGCGAGGGTTCGTGAGATCGTTCAATATGTCGGTCGCGTGCTCCATCATCCTCGCACATCTTAGCGCAGTCAGGTACGCCACGGGGATTGCACTGTACTCGTCCATCCCATTTGGTGCACTCACTCTGCTGCACACACACCGCTGCATGCACATTGCACTCAGTTTCAAAGGTGTTCGTGTAGCGCTTTTTGCTGGCAGTTTGTGCAAAACAGACGGGCGGATGCCCTATCTTATTCCTTGCAAGGCCAGGGTACAGCTTGCGTGCCCCCTGGCAACGCCACGCAGACCGGGAAGAACGAAACGGTATGCAGGGGCATGCATGTGTCCCGGGAGATGTGCTTGTCCCTTGTTGTTTGCCTCCTGTGTCCTCTGTTGCTCACCTATCCGTGCGAGGTGCGCTACAGACCCTTGAATGTAATAGGGTCGCGTGAAACGAACGAACTCCAAAGTCCAACGCAGTCAACAGGGCGCGTGCCCACGATTGTGCACCCACGCACATCTCGAAACGAAATGGGCCGCATCGATCATGGTATACTGCTGTTTTACCCTTTTCTTCGCGCCCATCGCGACCGTTTTTTTTTTTGCGTGAACAGGGCGCTCAAGCACGGCGATCTCTCGGAGGATGAACGAAGAGAGGTCGCGGTGACCTGGCTCATGCAGTGCGTACGGGGTTCGGAGCACATCTTGAAGCGAGAAGGGATCGACATCCCGCAGGAGATATTCGGGACCGACAAGCAGCGGCCGCAGAACATTGCCGGGTACCGTGTACGATGAAGAGAAAAGATGCCAATGTGATCCTACCGAAGCCTAGATATTTTATCAATAAATATGCTGCCAACGTGTCTTGATTGAAAATTTTGCCCTGTGTGTAGAGTTCTCCTGCGGTGTATTGTAGGTGGGAAGAGGTGCGCGGGGATCTGAGATTGATTGCAACGGGAGTTGTAGCAGGGATGGATGTGTGTCCACGGGGGGAGGGCGGGTTTGCGAGCTGTGGTTGTTCAATCCTCAGTTTCCCGAGCTGTTGTGTGCGTTCCATGGGTTTGTACTGAGGAAGCGGGTTGACACCTCGTTCGTTCATGTTCATGTATTTGACGTAGTAACTAAAATCACCACCATACGATCGCCATTCGATGAGGAAAAATATGATGCGCGGTCTTGCTCACGGCAATTTGTTGTCGACTGTGCGACACGACAGTCCCAACATTGGTCCGGTCCCGATGAGTTGGCTTCGCGAGAGGAGCCACACTCAACGTCAACCTGAGGGAGCCCCCGACGGTACAAGTATCCAAACGGCGCAGGATGCACGCCTTGCACAGCAGTTCAGTCCAGCGTTGTTCGTGAACTGCGAACGCACGTTTGATGACAGCGTTTGTCGCCCAACCTCGTCGCTGAGATTTCAAAGTGCCATTGGTGAAAGCATTTTTTGCATTAATGTAGTCTTCACGTCGACCTAGAAGTGTCTACTCCGAGGAGCGAGAGTAATCGTGGACATGATCACAGTTTTGGGCCTAAACATGACGGTGGTTTGTCGTGGATGTCGGGACCCACTGTTTGTTCGTCTTCGTGACGGATGGTCGGTATGGTAGCTCGGTAGCTCGGCCAACTTCATCTTTTGTACGAATAGCTCCATGGCTGGGCGCTGTTCACTCTTGTACTCGGGGGACATGAGCGAGGACTCTTCGTCGATCTACTCCACGATATTTGCAGACCGTTCCTCCTTGTGGATCGTGCTGAGGTGTTACTTCCTAATGCGGCTTGCTTGGTCTTGCGGGCACGGCCACGTTGGTTCCGCCGATTCGCGAATGGCTGCCTCGGTTTCCGTCGGCTACAATTCAAGCTTTGGACCTCCGCTGACCTCTTATCGTGTCTTTTGAACCCATCGGTAGCGATATCCCGATCATGCCGTGTGGTCCGTCATTCGGAAAACCGACCTCGTCGCAATAAAGCAAAGCCTGCTGAAACCGTCTTTCTGTGAAGTGAGGAACACAAAAAAACTCTATATTTCACTGTATGCCGCTGAAGAAATATATATATCTCCCCAACAGATCCCCCACGACGTGCCGCACTACCTGCTGTTACCTCTGACCGCCAGACCCGAGCAGGTTTATCGCGACGCCAAGCCGTTCCAAAAAAAAAGACCAAAGCAAAAAACCACTCACGTGTTCAGAGGGGACAAGGACTCGCACCGCCATTTCATCACATTCGCCGCATGTAACGCTCGAGCAATTCGAGTGGGTGTAAACCCCCACCAATCATTCGCGTCCAATGCTCGGCACATGGCAGAAAACAGAGCAGCAGTGACGAGAAAAACTTGTCACTCTTTGTACAATCCTTTCGTTTAATCTCTCTTGGCTTGCTCCCTCCGTCGTTTCAATCAAATACCCGTGGCGGCCGCACGGTAAGTTGACTTTGTTAAACCTCAAAACAACCTCTAAGAAGCCAGGAACAAAATAAGAATTTCAATATACCTTGAGATACCAAACCCTAGGACTTCAAAAATGGCAGAGGGTGGGAGAGGGGGGGGGGGGAAGGGGCAAGAGGCAGTCGTATCGATGTCCTCCCCGCCGCAATCGACGATATCATCGAAAAACGTACCATTCATGCGAAGACACGACCGGCATTCCTCTCTCCCTAGCCCTCCTGCCCTCCCAACCTTCTAAGCACCACTCTGGAAAAGTCTATCTCGCACGATACATGTCGTGCACAACACAAAAAATTGGTCCGAGAGAGCACACGAATCGAACGAAACAAACATGCACTAGAGAGGAGGGCAAGAACAACGACAGGCCCAAGCTGGGTAGGTAAAACGGGCCGCGAGTACTGCTTCCCGATTCTGTCTCACGTCGGCCTCGACACAAATTTTCGATCGAACCGGCCAGCACAACACTCGAACACCCGTCATCTCTCAGCTCCAGTTTTTTGCTACAAAACCTGGTTCGGCTAGATAGACTTCGGATGTAATCGGTTGAGCTTGCTCTGTTCACGCCTCATCCACATCCTGGGCGAATTCCGCCTCGAGGTCCCCCCAGATCTTGTCAGACTCTGCCTTCGCCTTCTTGGCGGTTTCCTCGAACGCCTTCTCGAGCTCTGCAAGGCTCTCAGCCTCCATCTTCTTCAAGGCTGCGGTGTACGTCTCTTCGTTCGAAACCATGTTGCCCCCGCCTGTGCTAACTGCCGGAGTCGCGCTCGTCACCATCTTAATCGGGGCTGTCGCGTGGTTTGGTTGACAAGGTGGCGGTGTACCGGCAGATTGGTGGGATGGCGGTGAGAATTGGGACGGGAAGGGATTCACATGTCGATTCGAGTTCGGTAGGGTGGATGTGTCGGATCAATGGAAAAAATAAATAAATGACTCACACGTGGTACGTGGCTCCCGTGTGCTTCGCGACGTTGCTACACGTTGTGTCGTCGAGCCTTCAGAGTTAAACTTGGTTCGGACAATAAACCGCGGCACAGAGTGCTACTCCCCCTGAAGACGCGGCTACCACTTTCATCCTCTTGAGTTTGCGTGCGTTGCATCGACGATAAGCACACACCCATCAATAAAGCAATCGCTCCTCATGCCTTGCCGGCAGACGCATGCATGCTACACATCACGCCAAGTGCGAGCATCGCCTGCTGTAGATGATCATGCACTGGAATATGGTTTCGTGAAGGCTTCTGCTGATGGAGGTGGGATTTGATCACGGGGACATGTTCATCGAGTACAAACCACAACAACAGAGCAGCAGCAGCAGTACTTCACACAGACACAGCCAGCCGTCGTATTTGGGTGCCGGCATGCCTAGAGGCGGCTTGTAGATACCACACATCCAACACATTCACAATCCAACCAGAGCGGGTGAAGGAATGATACCGGTTCTCTCAGCTACTCGCTATTGTAGTATACCCTGGGAAAGCTGGAGAGCAGCTGCACCCGTCTTGCAAAAAAGAACAAGAAGGAAGCTTGGAGCAATACCGCGTGCTCAGTGACGTATTTTAGTCCGGCCTTTCTGTCAAAACAAGCCCTATACCGTTTCAGGATAAAATGCTTATCGCGATAAGAGAACTACCCGGAAGCAATTGTTGGAGTGACCTTAACATCTCACATCAAAGCAAAACCGAAGCCCTCACCGAACAAAACAGCACAACGCTCTCACATGCAACAGCAACGCACAGAAGCAGCAACGGCCGGAACACTGATGAAAGTACCCTTAGACTAGTCACCACGGGAGTTACACCATCGAATACCACGCCTGCGAAAATGAGGTCTTTGCCACACTGCGATCTAGACTCACCAGACGCACGTGCGGTCCGTGCGAGCGAGTATCCAGGCACAGGTGCGAGGAAAGCATTCGCCGACGCGGAGAGGGCAACCACCGAGACAAACGCTGTGCGAACCATCGTGCTGTGTGGGTATTCGAGAGAGATGAATAGCGGCTGCAACAAGAAGCGGAGAGACCGGGAGGAGGGGGGGGGGAAGAATGACAGCGGCCCAGATAATAAGGGTTAGGGGTTAGAAAACCGACAACAGCGCCATATTATACATAAGCTGCGCTTGGGTTGCGGACTTGCGGAAATTTTCGGCGGAGCAGTAGTCTATAACCCCTTTCGAAAGATACAAGGTGTTAAAAGTAAATCGGAAGCGTGGCCGAGTTCTGCTGTGCACGACAGAGTAAAACATATTTAGCTTTTGAACGCTTCCCCCTTGTGCATCATGACAACGGCTAATATTGCTCTGACCGCAGTAACGACTATCCTCACCCCCCCCGCTCGCCAAAAAATAGGACGGGGGGGACATCCAAAGCTACATACACTTGTGTGGGTCAGGGGGGTAGTAGGTCATGGCGGGAAGGAGATGGAAGTACATCAGCTGCACAACACTATAATAGCGAGAATGTGTTGAAGTTTCGGACTTGATGCTACTGCTGAGGACACCACCTACAAGTACATATAAATACAATTACAAGTACGAAGCAGAGCAGGTTGGCAATTCTGCTTTTCGAACCATGGCGGAGGCTTCGTAGATACACAGTTGATCGACAAGATTGGCATCGTCAGTGGTTCATTTTAACCGTGGATATACAGCGGCTGGAGTGACACAGCTTGGCTTTCATAATGCAAACGCACCAGCTTTCGCATCTCAGGTTGGTACTGGGAAACACATCAACAGGGATACAGATTGCCAACTGCCATCGACCCCGTATCGCGCGTTGTTCGGAGTTTAGCAACATGAAACACTTCCCAAACAACAAAAACCTTGCTGTGCCCTGGGGAACAACGCAAGCGGAAGCCCAATAACAGCAAGGGGGAATCCCTTTCCTCGTTCCGTATGCATACGACAGCAGTTCTGCGGAGAGGATGCCACACACAAAACCACCAGGCCACATGCTCTCCAAGAGAGGGCCACACCGATCGATCAGCCCAGGTGAAAGTGAACCCCTGATACCCATCCCTTCAAGGGAAAGGGCCAGCATCGCCGTTTCAAAGCCCGCCTGGACCGTCAAGAAAACCCCTGTGCAGGCCTCGATGTAACCCGGGCCACCCTTTTTCTGGAAGGGATGTGTGCGCCATCGCATCATGTTGTTTAGAGACCTTTTCCCTTATTTCTGCGACGTGGTTCGCCGCATCCAACCTCAAAAAAACAGGATCGAAAGAATCACAGCACTTTGTTCATGCAAAGAGGGCACACCAGGGCACGGTGGGCCCCGACAACGAACCCCCTCCACGGGAGACCAGATGAAGCCGTCTCCTCTCCTCCCCCACAACGCTGCAAGCTCCGACCTAGCGGTCTCTGTAACTCCTCGCCTCCCAAGCCCAGGACTAGCTTCGTGCGCACAAATGGGTTGAGTTTGAGACCGTCGGTGCATCTGGAGCGTACAACGTCACTCAAAAATACGTACAACCAACTTTCCACTCGACAGCGGTCACGCCGAGGGTAGACAACAACAAGGGCACTGTTCCGCTGATCCCCGGTACCGTCTACCGCAGGGCTCACCTTGGCAGATCCAGTGGCTATCTCGGGCGGTTGTGGCGGCAGATAGATGGTCGTATTGGTGTGGGGTCGGCGAGGGGGTAGAGACACACAAGCGCGGTAGGGGATAGGGGACGGAGGGGCCCTGCAGATATGAATGCACACAAGAACAGATACACCCCACAAGCCGAGCGGCCGAGGTCACCTGCTGGGTAGCACGTGTAGCACTTGTGACAGAGATCCGCATCCCAGAGCGGGAGAGGAGTAAAAGACACCACACGGGGAAGTGCAAGTGCGAGAATAAGAAGCCGTGAGACCGGTAGTCGCGCGAGGAGGCGGCCACTCTTTTACGAGGATCTACAGCTATATTTGGCAAAACTGACTCGCGTGATTTGCTCGCTCAAGTCGGCTCTTGGGGCCAAAAAGGAAAAGAGAGTTCGTTGGGAGGGGGAGGACAACAAAAGGCACAGCGTGTTGACCAAGCCCCGCATGATACCGGCAGCTATACGTTGTCGTAGGGGAAGAGAAGCGTTGGTGGGAGCCACTGTGGGATGGCGAAGATGGGGGTCAATCGGAAGTTACAGAGTGAGTGACCTTTCGTAGGCGGGGGGGATGGTGGGGTGTGTCCTGCGTACATCTTCTTCGGCATGCACAAAGCGGCATGTTGAAAGCACCTCTACTCTTCCAGCTATCGTGAACAAGCCAGCAATGGTCATATCTTTACACTGGCACGTGGTGCACTGCTCGATGACCCTCGTTAAGAAGATAACTACAGACTAGTTGTCATGTTTGTGCGTTTCGCCTTGTCCTGGATTTTCTTCTCTCCAACAGCAACTTGTGACAGGAGGTTATGTGTTTCGGCAGCGGCCCCGGTGCTTCCCGGCCTGTTCCGTACGCCTCTCGCTCTCTCTCTGTGGGGAACAAATGCTGTTATCAACCAGAGACGACACTAGCCCCAGTCATGGTGTAGACAAACGATCACCTGGTCTTGCCACACACGAAATGCAAGTTTGGGCTGTCACTCATCTTTCGTCTTTTTTTTTTTCTCTGTCTTCGGTTGCCTCGCTCTCGCTGCGGCGTCGCCTTGCCCGCTCGCCTTCCCATCCACTCAGCGGAAATCGACCGAACCTTGAAGAAGGTTGACGAGGGCGTTGCCCTCTTCGACGAGATCTGGGACAAGGTGTACTCGGCTACACAGCAAAACCAGAAGGAGAAGTATGAGGGAGACCTCAAGAAGGAGATCAAGAAGCTCCAGGTGAGAAGAGAAAGACAGGAAAGAATGAGAATGGGAACGGGGAGATCTGAAGCTAGGCGAGAAGAGAGGGAGTTGAAGATGGCTTTCCTGGGTGCCGTTTCGGCCACGGTAGCTCCGCAACCGCTCAATGGAGCGGGATAGTGCGCCGAAGCATCTCGTGGCAACTTAGCTTATAACCAGAGACAAAATAGTTCCGGGGCTTGCTTGATGCAACCCTCTCGCCGCCCCCGCCCTCCGACCGCCCTCCCCTGATCGTTCGAAAATGTGTACTTGGTGCATTTCTGCTCCATCCCACTGCTGCTGTCCCGTCCCAATAGCGGCACCGAGATTCCATCAAGGGCTGGCTGCAGAGCAACGACATCAAAGACAAGACCATCCTGCTGGAGGTGAGACGCCGGATCGAGTCTAAGATGGAGCAGTTCAAGGTTTGCGAGAAGGAGACCAAGACCAAGAAGTTCAGCAAGGAGGGCTTAGCGAGAGAGGCAGAGGTAAGCAAGCCAGCGTGACTTGTGTTTGATGGATGGCACACGCAAGACATGTAAACCTTGGGTCACGTTCCATCTAGTTTGATGTTTGATGGTATCAGGTACAGCAGTGGAGGGCCCTCAATAACGCCGGTATGTGCCCGGCGTATCGACCGGCGCCATTCAGAGTTACCAACGCTATTCAATGTTAGAATGACTTGGTGATTTAGTCTGTGCCCAGCAAATTTACCGACGCTATGCAAAGCGACCGGCGCTAATCACCCGGCGTTATTGACGCCCCGCCAATGTAATTGAGATCATGAGTTTAGTCTCTCAACTGCTGGCTGTTGCATCCATTCTCAGGAGTGGCAGTTCAGGCGGTAGAACTTCAAGCACCGTATTTTAGCGACAACAAGGCACTGCTGTTGGTTTTGATTGGACGGTGATCACACTGAAGGGTGTGGTGTGGTCCTTGTTGCGGTTCGTATCGGGTTCACACCAAACGATGCTCAATTCAACAACCACAATCACGGCTACTATCAGATGGACCCAGAGGAAAAGGAGAAGATGGAAAAACGCGATTGGCTGACGGAAAAGATACAGATGCTCAACACGCAGCTGGAGGGCTTCGAAGCAGACGTGGAGAAGGCGGTGAGTCATGCGTTCGTCAATCTTGCTTGTGTGTTTTCGATGTTTCGGCACAGTAGGGAACCGTAGGCAGGGTAATATGCATACATAGCACCGTCGTCGCCTGGGGTCTAATTAGACGAGATCGAGACGTCGACCCACCGGTATGCGCCCGTGGTGGTGTCTGTTAGTCGTTCTCTTGCTCGTTTGGCATGATCCACCTCTGCTATTGCATTCGTTGGATAGATTTAACGCCGTTAGGAGCTGTTGTATATCAACGCTTGGCTCACGCTTGACCCTCGACCGTGTGTAGTATTCATCATAGACACTCCTGAGACATTGAAACGAACTGTTTATGTGTAAAAGCACACGGGGCTTTGGCACGGAGGCTCGGCTCCTCATGATTTTCCTAGCCGACAACACCAAGCCCCGCAGCTGCTGCAGCAGACACCGAGGGGTCGTCTTGGTATGTGTGTGTAGTGTGTAGCCCAAAGCAGTGCTCTTGCGTGGCTGCATGACTGTATCGGTGGGGTGATGACGGTGGTGTTTGCCTCTAACGCAGACCTTAACGTACACTCGCTTTTTTATGCGTCGGCGGGTGTGGCTGTAATCACCTTGTCAGATGGCTGCATTGGGCAAGAAGAAGAAGGCCAAAGATGACGAGAGAATTAACGCTCTCGACAACGCTAGGAAGCAACACAACTACCACATCGGGCGGCTGGAGCAAATGCTGAGACTTTTGGACAACAACGACCTAGCGCCTGACCAGGTTATCAATTGTTGGCTGCTTCGCTGAGGCTGCTACGCGGATGTTCGATTGCTACAGACTGCAACCAATTAGCACGCACTTTCTACGTTTGGAAGTAGATGCTGGCGCATGGGCCGCTGGTACGATACGGCGTGGGCCTTCGCTCCGTCAGCGTAGCTGCCCTGTGGACGCTGGTTCCGGCTCCAAGAGTGTACGGCAGCTTCGCTTCTCAGCGCGTGTGCCAAGTGTGGGGTACCATGAGAGTTTTGTGGTGTGACTTGTCCCTCTAGGGATCGCGGGACTAGATTGATGTACGACACCCCGAAAATGTGCAGGGTGCGGTGCACGGTTGAGAGGCCCGCCACGACCGTCTTGTCTTACAGCAGTGTCCTGTTCGCCCGCGAGCCATACCACCAACATTTGTGTTGACGCATGCAACCACTCGCTGGCCAAAAGGACCAGCAGGAGCGGCGATTTCGAATTTATCAAGACATGGAGCACGGCAGAGGGAGAAGCACACCGGATGAAAGCTCTCATTCCCGTAACTTTTGCACCCGCTGTTCTGTGCATTACACTGTCTCGTGTGTTCCGTGATGTGATTTCAGGTGGACAGCATCATCGAGGACCTTGACTGGTACATCAGCCAGGCGGGAGACGACATCCACCTCATCGAGAAGTTCGAAGCTGAGGACTCCTACGACCTCTACGAGGCCCTAGAGCTGGACGAGCTCGCCGCGCCGGGGGCACCGCCGGTGGTGAAGGGCAACAAAAAGCTTGACGTGAGTTTGCCCGCTATATGGCATGCGCTGGCGGTGACATGTTCGCCGATGAGCGTTATGCGCGGCGATATCAGGGCTGACTTTGTTGTGTGTGTAGCCTGGTTTTTCTCTGTTTGACCGGGTTGGTCTGTGCACCGCCCATCACACTGCGGGCTGCGAACATAGTGCATGCTACCCTACTGTATAGTTGTCCATTAGTTCTGGGGGCTTCCTTCGATCGTCAAAATGTTACTCTATATAACGCCCGGTGTGTCGTTCGATGGGGGTCAGTTCTCATGTGGACAACTTTCGGTATCTGTACCATAAAAGCACCAGCCGGAGTCACGCTGCATGTGCATTTTCGCCATCTTTGTGCTATGTATGTTGCGTGCTTTGTGGGTGTGAAATACTACGGTGTGCGGTGTGGTTTGGCTTTGTGCGCTATCAAGTGGTTATGCATACGCATATATACCACGTTCGAAAATATATGAGTCATTCGGATACACACGCGAATACCACAAATGGTCTAGTCCCTGTGTTTCCGAACAGAACAGAGCGGTACAGCAATAGTAGACGACTGCTCCAAGTCTTACTTGGTCGTCTGCCATTATCGCGTTGTTTCGTGGGTTGATGGTTTGTGGTTGGTTTGGCCAGGTGTTCGCCGAGGGAGACGAAGAAGACGAGGACAGCGACGCAGATGAGCCGGCAACACCGACGGTCAAACTCAGGGGAAAGAAGGTAAAAACGTCCGGAAACACCACCCATGAAGCGCGTTGCGATTTGCGCTACATGCAGTCAGTCGGTGGCAGGTTGTGCAGCCGTTTTTTTCTGTGCTGCTGTGGAGTGCTGCCTGCCGGACATTCTTCCGGCGGCTGTAGACGTTGGAGGTAACCAGGTTTGTTGGCGGTTGTAGGTGCCATGCGGGTGGGTGAACCGCGTCGAGGAGAGCAGGAGCTCGGTCAAGTGTTAACCTTCCACGTCTCAGTCTCACGACTAGGAAGTTCACGACTTAGAAGCCGATGCACCTCTTTCGTGTACGAACATCGCCGTACCGTCCGCCCTAGCCCTACAGTTATGGTCACCCCGGCCACACACACACACACACACACACACACACACACACACACACGCACTCACCCCACGCCGTGCAACAGCAACGCCGAGCACTCTTGTCAATGCTCTGCCAATGAGCAGGGCAAGGCGGCGGCAGCAGCAGCGGCCGCGGCGGGCATCCCGTTGATTGGTCGGCCGGTCGTCAAGAACGCCAAGGATGCCAAGACTTCGGCGCCGGCCGCGGGGGGGCGGCAACGTGCCACGACCACGACATCGGGCATGCCAATCATCGGACGCCCGGTCGTATCAGCCGCGGTGCCCACAGCAAAGGTCGCTAAGGCCCCGGGTTTGGGAGACTCGCCACAGGCAACCATCCAGCAGCAGCAACAACAACAAGCTGGGCCTTCGCCCGCGGGACAGCAGCAGTCGACGATGGCCGTCGCAGCAAGGATGGGCACACCGGGGCCTCAGACACCAGGACAGACGATGCAGGTGCACTACGCGTCGTTTCTTTTTCAAGTCTAAAAGTGGACTGTTGGCGCTGTTGTTTGCAGGTGAAAGGCTACTGTTCAGGCAGTTCGCAGCACCATCTAAGGCTTGTGTTTCTGGCAGCGATGTCCTTCTCGTGTCATGCGTGTGGTCTCCTTGTGCGTGCTGTGATGTTTGTAGTGGTACGTATGCACGTGGGTAAGAAAACTCCAGGAAGACAGTTCTTTTTTCTATTTTCCTCTTGTCGTACATTGGCTCTCAAGCGTGTTGGTGTTCCCGTTCCTGTCGTTGGAGATGCAAGTCGGCGGCTTGAGTGTGTCAGGAGTTGGAGAACAGAGAGGCACCAGGGGGCTATGCCAGCAAGAGACTGCTGTTACCGGCCGAAGATAAACTGTAACTGTCGTCCAAGGACAGGGAGGGAGGGTCTCGGAGTGTACGCGGTTGACGCAGTCCGTGATGAGCGTGAATTTCCGTCGTCGCCGATAGTTGTTGAAATGCTCAACCGCGTATAACACTCCGAGACCCTCCCTGTCTGTCCTTGGACGACAGTTACAGTTTGTCTTCGGCCGGTAACAGCAGTCTCTTGCTGGCATAGCCCCCTGGTGCCTCTCTATTCTCCAACTCCTGCGTGTGAACTGACCCTGTTGCTAGGTTGCTGGCAGCCGTGTCGAGCGTGAACGGTTGGTGCCAGTCGGGTCTCACGATCCATTAAAGTTGAACCTGTACCCGCAAGTATTTTCGTGTGTTCTGTCCATCCGGCCCAATGTCAGCCGTTTCTCGGCACTCCCCCCCTCCGTGGACCCCGTCTTTGACGCTCGCTACCCTGCCCCTACATGCGATACATATCGGCGACTGCTGCTCTGAACGGTTAAATGGTAATGGTCCGAACAGAGCGCGACCACAACTCCCATCAAGATGGGACGAATGACATCAGCAGGGGATGCCATGCACACTCCCCAGCGACAGCAGGTGAGAGCCCATGCCGTGTTTGATGTGTCCACCGTCCGTAGGTGGCACGACGTATGCATAGATACATCTTATCACGGCATCTGGACCGATTGTTTACGATGGATTACTCCACGACGAAGACGAAGACGAAGAGGATGTTACATGAAGCGATACATTTTCGTTATGCTCTCGACGAGATTGTTCGGCACCGCGCTTCTATTGTGCTATGGAGTAATCACGCTTTGACCATGTGGGTCAAGGGGGTATGATTTATGTCGTCACCTATGCATATGATATTAGCTGGTCCAGCATCACGTCGTACGTTGCTGCTTGTGTCACGAGTTTATTAGAGTAAAATAAGAGTAGTTTATAACCTTGCCAAGCACAGCTTCTGTTGCGGCCCTGCTTAAGCTCTTGACGTGCAGAACTGGGGTGTTACGTGTCAAGGAAATTCCACTCTTTCATGTTCTCCGTGCAGCATCCAACTGGGGTTCATATCAATCTCGAAATGGGTTTGGACTTGATGCAGATGTCCGACATGTCACGCCCGTGCTATCATACGCATGGTCGATTGGTGTCATAGCCCACGCAGAGGTGTTGCGCAATCTCGATGCTGCCTCCAGGTTGCGACCCCGTTTCAGGCATAATCCGAACTTTCGCCTTCGTCCTCGTTGCCCGTACGTGTGCAGGGAGTACCGGTAGCGAGGACACCCCCATCGGCGAGCGCGGCCCTCGACAACAACGCCGGCACCAACGTCCACACGCCGTCAAGGCAAGGACCGCCGCAACCACAGCACGCGTCACCAGCAGCGTTCCAGGGGGCAGCGGGAGCGGGGCAGTCTCCTTACCCGAACAACCACCAGCAGGCAGCGTTACCGCAACAGCAGCAGCAGCAGGTAGCTCAGGCTGGGGGCCAGCAGAAGCAACAACAACAGCAGCAGCAGCAGCAAGCTCAGATGCAGCAGCAGCAACAACAACAGCAGGGGGGGCAGCCGTTTTCCTTTCCGGTGGGTCGTAGAGGCTGTCGCTTGTATAGTATTGTCGTTGAGCTCGGTCGGATGCCTTGGCAATGTTTTACACCCCTTTTCTGAATGCGACCGCAGTGTCGTAGATTTAACATTGTGTGTCATCAGCGTTGCCCAATACAGATTGACTTTACGGAGAGGTCCAGGTGTTGCTTACACCGATGTGATAGTTGTGTAATTCACGCGCGTGTGTGCTGCTGCTTTGTACGACTGGCGTTGCCAATGCTCCCCTCCGCCTTCGTAGGCTCAGCAGCAGCAACAGATGCCGATGCAGCCGCAGCAACAGCACGCGGCGGCGGCGGCGGCGCAGCAACAGCAAGCCCAGGCGCAGCAGCAGCGCGCGGGACAGCCTGGCTTGAAGGGGGACCCTGGATTGCCGTTGGATTCTCCCCAGATGGGGGCTGCTATTCCCGCAGACGACGACCCGTCAGGTTAGCCAGCAATTAGTATTGCCTACCGATCACCACTGTACAGTACATCGTTCGTGTCCACGCCGTTTCAACTGAGGCTCTGGTTTGACAGTAGGCGAGGGCGTGACAACTCACACAGCTGGAGAATGGAGGACTGGTGCTGCTGCTGCCAGTGTGTCGACTGCAGCGCCCCCGAAGAGACTCACCAATCGGATGATTGACGTGTTGCCCCTTGCCGGCTAGCTCTGTGGGGTGCCTCACCGTCCAACTCCAAGTTAAAAAATGCACGGCTGTGGCATTGAGTGCAACATCGATGCCCACGTTGACTGGGAATTTGCTGTTGCCAAAGGGAAAGAAAGAAAACAAACCTTGTGTTGCACTCGTTTGCCAAAACGGTTTTGGATGCGGCAACGATTGTTGCTATCTACCATCAGGTGTTTCGATGGGACTAGGCCTTGGGCAGCATCACACGGCGTTGGGGACAGCACGCCAGAGCGCCGAGTCTGGCGGTCGCGTGGCGCTTGAGCAGAGCATGATGTTCAAGCCGCAGTCACGCGATTCAGAGCGGGCGAAACCGTGAGTCTTGCACCTTGTTGACGAATAGATGCATAGCTGTCTTTCGTTGCACGACGCTCTGATGATGCAATACGAGACAGGGCATCGGCGGGCCAACGTTTGGAGCCCTACTGCTGTACTAGTAGTTGTATCTGACGATGAGTCTGGTCAATCCTTATTCCCAGCCAGTAGTACTCTCCTTCACGCAGGCGTTCGGAGGGAAGCAGGTGTTGGATTCATGTGTTATTAGTTTATCTGCCCATGACCTGATTGCATTGTGATGTATGTGGTGTTACTGATGTCTTGGGCATCTTGATGTATCTTGATGTAGACGTAATCTTTTGTCCAGGAACAGTTTTCCCGGTGGCTCTATATTTTGTTTCAGAGAATCGTTCGCGCTCGTTGAATATGCCTAAACTCGCCTGTGCGTCCATACCTTCACATCATGTGTGCCTCATCTTTCTCATGTCTTTTTGTACTAACACCGTCCTCTGACTCACTCTCCTGGCTCGTGCGTACTCCCCCCCCCCCCCCCCCCCCCCCCCCCCCCCCCCCCCCCCCCCCCCCCC